TTCAAACTCTGCTCCAGAGAGTTCAATTCCAATGTGCTGGCCACATTGTTCAAATAAAAAAATGTATGATTGTCAAAAAGATTATTTTATGGAGAACTCACACCGGGCAAGCATTCACATGGTGGTCAGAAGAAGTGATACAAGGACACTGTCAAGATCTCTCTTGAGAACTTTGGAACTGATTGTGTGACATGGGAGACAATGCCACAGGACCGCTCAGCATGGCATGCCCACATCAGAGAAGGTGCTGTGCTCTATGAGCAAAGCAGAATTGAAGTAGCTCAAGAGAAACACAAGATTCGCAAACTTAGAGAATCCAGCCCAAAGATTCACATGGACTATTTGTGCCCCACTTGTGGTAGAACAGTCCGAGCTCATATTGGTCTGATCAGCCACAGTCGGACCACATACAAACTTGACTCTAGCATAGTGATGTCATTTTGGTCCTCTTCCAGCACCAAGGACAACAACCAATGTCTCTGCCTCTCCTTGGTCCTCTAACAGGGGGAAGTGTGATACGAGGAGTAACTACCTGCAAGGAAGGTTGCAAGGAATTTGGTTATCTTCAGGACAGAGTCTACTGTCAGTTCAAGTGTTTAAAAGTTCAAAGATATAGGCAATAGACAATAGAACCAGTTCCAAAGGGAATAATGGAATAAACTAGGAAATTAGTGAAGCAGATTGGATTAGAACTGGTGAGGAATAGGGATGATTAGAATAGACTCAAAGATTTGGGAAGTTAGTGTGGACATGACATTTATGCTTAAGGTGGCAAGACTGGATGAGAACTCCAATATTGGGGAATGAGTACATCAAAGTAAATTAGCATGGCATACCCCCCTTCAACAGAGTTTAACTATATTTTTAGGATAAATCATACCTGAATTTAAGACAAAATCTAAAACAGGGGTTCTTAATCTTCCTTGTGTCATGAAACTTTTTGACAGTCTGGAGAAGTCTATGGTACTTATATCAGAATGATGTTTTTAAATGCGTAAAATAAAATACATAGGATTATAAGAGGAAGTAGTAATTGAAATAGTTTTTACATAGAAACATAATACATAAATTTATACTTCTTATTATTATATTATATCAATTATTATATTACATTAATATGATCATCTAGGCGGAGCAGTGGATAGAGTACCAGGCCTAGAGTCAGGAAGACCCATCTTCCTGAGTTCAAATCCAGCCTCAGATACCTACTAGCTGTGTCACTATGGGGAAATCACTTAACCCTGTTTGCCTCAGTTTTCTCATCTGTAAAATGAGTTGGAGAATGAAATGGCAAACCATTGCATTACCTTTGCCAAGAAAACCCCAAATGCGGTCACAAAGAGTCAGATACAACTGATCAAAAATATTGATATAAACATAAAATATTATAAAACAATGTTTTATAATACTTATATGTATGTATATGTATGGATATATAATTCTTTGATGGGATCCTTCTTTTCTCTTTCTATACTTAGCCCTTAGCACTTAGGTATGCACTGGACACTTAATTCCTAGATTTTTGCAAAACTTTCTAGCTGGCCTTAGATACTTAGTAGTTGTGTGATCCTGGGCAAGTCACTTAAAGGCAGCCTGCCTCAGTTTCCTCATCTGCAAAATGGGAATAATAATAGCACCTACCTCCCAGGGCTTTGTCAGGATAGAATCAGATTTTTTTTTAGGCAATTGGAGTTAAGTGACTTGCACAGGGTCACACAGCTAGTAAGTGTCAGGTGTTTAGTCTGAAGGCGGATTTGAACTCAGGTCCTCCTAACTTTAGGGCCAGTAGTCTATCCATTGTGCCACCTAGCTGCCCCTTAAAATCAGATATTTGTAAAGCTCTTTGTGAACCTTCCAGTGCTATACAAATGCTATTATTGTTGTTGTTACTCCAGTTTTTTCTTTTACTCTGTGTTCCAGACATTTGTTTCCAGCTGGGCTCAGAGTAATAGCACCTGGATATTCTGCCGCAAACCTTGAACTCATTCTATCCCTAACCCAGTTCATTATCTTTTCCTCTAAACTTTCTCCTTCCCCTACCTCTCATGTTTATAATTTTGGTGCTTGTAGGATGACAAAATCACAGATCTGGAACTAAAAGAGACATCAGAGACCATGTAATCTAACTCTCATTTTACAGGTGGGGAAACTGAGACTCTGAGTGATTAAGTAATTTGGCCAAGGTCACACAGATATACAAACATGTTCTGTGACTTCAGGTTGGACACACTTTCCATTGCCTCATGCATCGCCTTGACTTTCCCCTCCTTTATTTTTCATATCTAGTTATTTATCAGGTTCTGTTGATTTCATCTCTGCAACATCTCAAAAATCTGTTTCCCTCCCTCTGTATTCCCATTGCCAGCATCCTAGTACAAGCCCTCATTACCAGCTGCCTAGACTATTATAACAGCTGGCAACAGTTTATATAATAGTGATGATAACTATCATTTAAACAGTGATTTAAAGTTTGCTTTACATGTTACTGGTCCCCATAACAACTCTGTGAGGTAGGTACTATTGTCACCTCCATTTTGCAGATGAAACTGAGTTAGAGATTAAGTGACTTGCTCAAAGTCACACAGCCACTAAGTGTCTGAACCCACATTTGAACTCAAAGTTCTATCCATTGCACCACCTTGCTGCTTGCAGTCTTCCCAAACCACACCCTTCATATCACAGCCAGATTATGAAGAGGGGGATACACACTCACACACACACACACACACACACACATACACACACGTTACATATGAATTTATATAAAGGTTTAAAAAGAGCTCTCTTGCAAGATTATTAAAGAACAAATTTCACAGATGAGAAAACTGAGCCTCAGAGTGACTTGCCTAGGTCTTGAACTCAAGTGATACAACTTCCCTATACTACGTTGTTTTCTTTCTATGCATAGATCTGGTTATGTCACCCTAATGGTAAAAATTTCTATGGCTCAGAAAGTTTTTAAAGCCCTTTTTCTGGCACTCAATTCAAACCTATTCCTTCTAGACTTATTTTATGTTATGCCTTTGTGTATACTTTCTAACCCAGCCAAACTCAATAGATCTCTATATCCTGAGAATCCATTATATTCTTAAGACTTGGTGGATTTTCTAAAGCTATTCTCCGTGACTCAAATGTTCTCTGTTCATTTAAAGCCCAAACCAAATATTACTTCTTTCATGATGCTTTACCCATTCCCTGGTTGGAAATACCCTCTCCTTTCAGCTTTCACGTTTGTAAAACTCTAACATGCTTATCTTATGATAGCATATGAGATAGCACATCATGACCTATATTGCTAGATTGACCTTGGAAAGCTCTTTAAGGCAGGGTCTGTCTTATACTTGAGGTCTCCTCCAGCACCTAATACAGTACTCTGCACATAGCAGGGGACTTAATAAACATTTGCTTTATTGTAGTTGTATCAAAGTTAAACTTCTCAATTTGGCATTCGAGGCCTTCCAAGCACTGTCTTCTCCATTTAGTTTTCTCCCACATTACTAGGCTTGTGAAAAAATGTTTGCTGATTAACTGAATCCATTTTCCTGTGGTGATTTTACAGATTTGTATCATCCGGTCAACCTGAATGCAAATTCCTCAAGGGAAGAAACTGTGGCTTCTGGTACGATGGACCAGCATGGGTGTTTGGCATATGGCAGGAACTTAATAAATGCTCGCTGAATTGAAATGAATTAGATGTGGTCATCTTCCAAGTGACATACAAACACAGATAATGGTGTGTGCATAAGTATATACCTGTGAGAGAAATGATTATTAATAACCAATGATTTGAGGAGATTCAGATTTTCCCCTTTTTCATTTATCCTTATTTTAAGACCTCAGTGTCTTAAAGGTTGAGCTAATCTTCTTCTCTATCCAGACCCCATCAGGTGGGTCAGTCACTGTGTTCTATTCAGGTTGGGTTGGGGATAAATTTTTTTGAATAGATTGTCCAAGGCTGGGGCTAACTTAGAAGTAAATAACAAAATCAAAGCCCAGGTCCAGATCCTCATTGTAATATTCACTCTCTCATTGTTAGCCAATCAGAATTGATTGCCACCCTCAGGAACAACCCTCTTCCAATGGGCATATAAGTGTGAACCCACTGCCATGAAGGTCTTTGCTCTAAGAGACCACCCTTATATTAAAATGCTGGTATTATTAATAAAATGATTAAGTTACTCATAAATTATGCCTCTCAAATCTTTTAAAATGTCACACCTGTCTACTTTTGATATGCAAATAAATATCATGTATAGATGAAGTAGAAGGTCACGTGTTCACTCCTGGCTCAATTCACTTTCTGAATTGTTCCCCCAACACACAAACACATATTGTTTAGTCATTTTCAGTCATGTCCAACCCTTTGTGACCACATTTGGGGTTTCCTTAGCAAAGATAATGGAGTGGTTTGCCATTTCCTTCTCCAGATCATTTTACAAATGAAGAAACGATGAGGAAATTGAGTCAAATAGGGTTAAATGACTTGCCCAGGGTGACGCATCTAGTGTCTGAGGCCACATTTGAACTCAGGAAGACTCCAGGCCCAGCACACTATCCACTGTGACACTTACCTGAACTATACATACATACATACATACATTCATATATACACACAAAACAGCTACCTTGTCAACTTAGGGATGACTCCATCCTAGGGCCTTCTCACTGTTTGGTGAGGGCCCTGCCTGGGATTGCCATTTCTTGAGGGGCCTCAGCCATGTTACTCAATTTATTTCTAACTCAACTTATTCTCCAGAATGTTCTACATCCCCAAAGCCTTGCTTTGCCAGGGTATCGACTCCTTTTTTTTCCAGCTTTCCTTTATGTTTTGTCTTTTATTAGAATGCAAATTCTCTATTAGAACACAAATTCCTCGAGAGTAGATATTCAAAGAAAACCTGCCTTTGTGCATCTAATGAGAAAGCTGAGCCCAGGAATAGGATCCTTACCCCAGTGTTTACTCTCCCTTACCCAGACCAGCTCCTTCACCAAACACTTACATTATCTTTTTTCTGTATCTCCAGATTAGGGTCCACTGGGGAATTCTTATCACTTTGCTCGCCAAAAAACAGTGAGACCAAGCTAGCCATAGAGAAAGAGAGTAGAGGAGAGACAAGAGGAGAGAAAGAAAGGAGGAAAGAGAAGAGATTTTTATCAGTTGGAGTCTGACCCTTTGGTCAATTATTCCACTTGCTACGTTCCCCTCTCTCTTCTTGTTTAGGGTCAGGAATGCTCTCAGTTCCTATACCAGCAGTGGAGATTTCTCAGCTCATTAGCTGTGGAAACAACCACAGAGCCTGGACTTGAGGTCAGGTCCATCTGACTCCAAGCCTAGAGTTCTGTTACTCACTCACTAGCTAGGATCATGAGGAAGTCACTTCATATCGGCACCAGTTTCCTCCTGTATACAATGAGGCACTGGAACTAGATGACTTTCAATATCTCTTCCTACATCTCCATCTCTGCAAACGCAAGATCTCAAAAGTAATGACTCTGATGATCAGGTAACAAAAGAGTCTCAAAAGTATGGAGATAATGTTTCCCAGAGGGAAAATGGGGGTGATAGTAGAAGGGAGAGCAGGCAACACATAGCAATAGCTAGCGCTGATAACTCCATGAGTAGGAATTCTATGAATTCCTTTATCTTTATCAGACTACTCAAATGGGTCCATTCAAAGTCCCTGGAGATAAGCTTGTCCTAGACTTGTGTATATATGCTTTAAATTCCATTTGTTTACCTTGGTATAAGACCACAAGGACCCCTTCCTTCCTTGGATTTCCTGATTGTTTGTACAGAGTTGTTTGCATATTGTCTTCCCCATTAGATTTTTAACTCCTTTTGGGCAGGGATTGTATTTTGCCTCTGTTTCACTAGCAGTAGTACACAGTGGACACTGACATGAGTGGCTTCACTTCCCTGAAGCAAACTGAGATTGACCCTCAAGGATAGATGTAAGATGAAGCCCCATGTCTTCTTGTATCTTTTTTTTATGAGTATTCCACTAGCAGTTTATATGCTATTGATAAACACTGTAGTTAGGTTAGATGTGGGTATGACTCTGTGTGCCAGAAATGGACAAATGCAGAGGATCGAAGGGCTATTTTGTCCTCTAAGTTAACATGTCAATCATCTAAATCTAGCTTCCTGTTGGGAGGTATAGAAGAAGTAAAAAAAGTCAATATCCACATGTGGTTACATGCTGTGACATAAGGAAGAGGAGAAGATCCTAACCAATCATTTCCAACCAGGAAAAATGTAATTTCCCTAAATGGAGTATGGGGTCTCTCAGCTGGTTCATCAAATTGGGGTCTGATGGGGACAGTCACTCAAAGGAGAAATCAAGTGATTCTAGGGAATAAATGGGGCTTGTTGGATGGATTGGGTCTTACCTTTCTTTATTCGTTAGCAGACCTAGGCGTCCATAGTCCCAGGCGGCTTTCCGGAAGAAGGAGAAGACACAAAGAGCAATCTGAAGTTGGGAAGAAAAGTGAGTCAAGCCCAGCGTCCTACTCCTTTCTTGGCCCTTTGACTCCTGATGACACTTTATCTGGAGCTTTCTCCCGGCTCAAAAAGCAGCTACTATGCATGGGGACTATGACCCTAACCCTTCAACATCTAGGAACAGGCTCTTCAACTGATTCAAAAAAGAAAGGAAGCAGGGCTTTGGTTCAAAAGCATTGGACTGGAAGTTAGGAGACTGGGTACAGTCCCAGTTCTGCCACTCAAGCTTTTTTTCTGTGAAGGAAAACCACCACAACAACTGAGATCGTAGATCATAGATCATAGATCCAGCCCTTTTAGAGCTGGAAGGGACCTTAGAGGTCATGGAGCCCTTCCTTTTCAGAGATGAAAGGATAAGTCCTTCATTGTATAGATGAGGAAACTGAGGCTGAGAGGTTAAATGACTTGCCCAGACTCACACATCTAGTAACTAAGGCAGACTTGAACTTTGCTCATCCTGACTCCAAGTACAATAGTCTATCGAGTATACCACACTCCCTCTAAAATTTGGCGTGGTAGGCTAGAGGACTTCTACAGTCCTTCCAGTAGCTGTGTGTTACCAACTAGTTGAATGATTTTGGTGAAGTCATTTAACTATATTATAAGCTTTAGTTTCCTCCTCTAGAAAAATGAGAATAAGAAAATCTGTCCTGCCTACCCCCACGAGTAGGTTGTGAGGATCCAATGAGACAATGTACTTTGTAATTGGACTGGGAGACAAGAGACCTGGGTTTGTTTTAGCTAGTTGTTTGACCTCGGACACACCAATCAATCCCTCTGTGCCTCTATTTACTCATTTATAAAATGACAGAGTTGAAAGATCTTTATGATCCCGTTACAACTACAACCTTCAATGATATTCTGAGCTCTTCACTAAGCCATTATTCTACCTGCCATGTGTATCTGGAGTGAAGTCCTTTCATGGGAACAAGCTTAGCCCCAACTCCTGCCCATTCAAAGGGAGTTCAAAGATCTCTTACCTCCCCCACCAACAAGGAGGCATCTTGGGGGTAGGTGTGAGGTTCACTGGGCTTTTGGTAGCACCATAAAGTGCTCCGAGATCTTCACTTGAGGGTTACCAAAAGATTCTCATTGGGGGTATTAGAGAAGAGGTGAGAGGAAAAGGGAGATGCAAGGAGAAAAGTATCCATGTTGGCATTTGCCTAAAAGAATGTGGAAGAGGAAACAGAGTGGCCAAATGGACAGAGCACACTGGCTTTGAAGTTAGAGAATCAGAATTCCAGGCTTATTGCTGCTATGTGCTCCATCCTGTGTGACCTTTCACAGGTCACTTGGCTTCCTTGGGCCTCCATTTCCTCATCTATAAAATGAGGGGGTTTGGGCTAGATGGCCTCTAAAGGTCTCTGTCGGCTCAAAATTTATGATCCTATGATCTTTTGATTTCTACTTGTGAATCTAGGAGACCTCACTAGTCCTTTCCTATTTGGACTCCCAGCCAGCTGTGTGACCTTGCCTATTCACCAGCTCAGATCAGTACCTCTCTGAGCAGGATTCACTCTAGGACCATTCTCTTTCTTCTCCACATCCTGCCACTGACTTACAAACCAGATGCAGATGTTTATGAGAAACACAGTGGGCACGCCACCAAAGGGCTGCCCTATCAGGATGGTATTCCTGGTGCGGAAGCATTTGTCCCATGAGTGGTTGCTCATTCTTTCTACTACATTCAGGATATCCAGGGACGTAGTGCTCTGGCTCTCTGCCTCCGGGAACATTTGGTCCATTTTGCCAAGGCTGGGTTCCTCCTCACTCTGTGAAACAGAAAACCAGGGAGGAAAGAAAGTTAGATTAGTGCAAAGCCACAGCCAGGACATTTCCCACCATGCCAGGCTCCACACCCTATCCCTTAAAAAAGCAGGTTACCCCTCAGAGCATCCACAGGCTAAACACGTGGCTGCCCTTACAGTCAGTTCAATCCTTAACCCTAACCCTCCCAAAGCTCAGGACCCAACAGAGGAAAGGAAAGGGTAATGGCTTCTTATATACCAATCATGTAAATCAGCACCAGCCCAAGATCATGAAAGAAAACAGCAACATGTAAGCAAGCATTCTGATCATGCATCAAAGATCTGATTTTATACACTGAGCATCAAAGCAGATGTATAACTTAGTAGATGAGTCTTAAACGGTTGGCTAAGGCTCAAGGAGCTATATGACTTTCCCCATAGTCACTCAGCGAGTAAGTATCAGAAGGAGAGATCTGAACCTAAGTCTTTCTGTCTCCCAGTGTAGTGGCCTATTCATAAGTTATCTTTCTAAGCATTTGGATAAGAATTAATGCTAGTCAGCACTATCCTTTAGAATGTTAAATATGCCCTATGCCATGTGAGATGGGCTACAAAAATACTGTAGTGGGCTGGTAGAGATTTGAACCTATTTGCAAGCATGTTCTGTCCCTATTAAGTTTGGGTCTGGATCCTATTTACTCCACCTTCACGCCTATCTTGGATAGGACAGTCCTGGGAAGGAAAAGAAAAAAAAATCTTCATATATTTCATATACAAAGCAGCCCTGCCTTCCTAGAAAGAAGGGCGCTAATTCCTCCTTTTACCATTTCCTTTACCTGCAATAGCATCCTCTCTTCCTCTCAGAAAGCTGATATTCATACTTTGTCTCCTTCCTTTGCCTATATAAACCTGTTCTCAAATAAGCATCTACTAAATTCATTCACACTAAAGCCCAAGAACCTGAAAACAGAATTATGCTTCTTAGAGGAATCCAAAGTTTTTAGCTAAGGGAATGAAGCTCTAATATGATAACATAAGTATCAGCCAGTGAGTAAGGAAGATATTCTAGGATGCAATCGGAAGTTTCTAGATTGGGAGTTCTTAATCTGCCATCCTTTAACTTGCTTTTAAAAACATTTCAATATAATTTCGGTATTTCTTTATAATTTGCTTCCTTTGTAATCCTATGTATTTTATTTTATAAATTTAATTTACAATTATTTATATTTATTTATAATAATTCTCATTATTCTGAGTAGTTCATAGGCTTCATCAGATTGTCAAAGGCATCTATGACACATGTACAAAAGGTTAAGAACCCCTGGTCTAGATGTTTTTGAAATCATATGACTTTATCTATACATAAAAGTCTGGCCTATTCTTAGCCTAGGAGATCAAGGTCAGCCCCATGAAGGTGTATGGGAAACATCCTGCCCACTGGGTAGTCTCTTTCTGAAGGCAGCAAGACCCCTGAGGAATAGACAATGACGAACTCCGAGAGGACCTGATTTTTTTTGGGGGGAGGGGGCTAGGCAATATGGTTAAGTGACTTGCCCAGGGTCACACAGCTAGTAAGTGTTATGTATCCGAGGCCACATTTGAACTCAGGTCCTTCTGAATCCAGGGCCAGTGCTCTATCCACTGCACCACCTAGCTGCCCAGATTTTTTTTTTTTAAAGATAAGAATTCTTACCTAAGAAAGTCTCCCACTAAGGACTCAAGTCAGGTCCAGAGGTTGAGGTCAGCCATACTTTAAGGTGAAGGCAGATGGAGAAGCTACAAAAGATAAGGTTTTTACATTCAAGTGTAATAAAAAGAAAGCACCCTGGGTCACAGATGGAGAAAATGGTCCCTTGGGTTGGGGATTAGAAATGGGTGAAGGAGAGTTCTGTTCCCTCCCTCCACAGGCCCAGCCCTTTAGGTCCTGTCAGACCCATTCTTTTCCTGTCTTCCTCCTTCTGTACCTGCATGATCCTACCAAGTTTGTAGCTCTGCTCAGGATGACCCAATGACCACCATTGCTAGCCTGCTTTCTTTGCTGATCTTAGAGCAGGTGCTAAGTGGGCAGCAGCTCCCTTTTCCTCTACTACCCAGTCTGAAGTGGGGTGGTTGGAGAGGGACTAGGACTAGAAGGGTGATGTTTTCTCTTCTTACAACTGAAGGTGGTCATTTGGGAAGAGAAACGAAAGTAGTTATGTAGCTGGTGTCTGTGGGGGATTATTAGGTGGAGTAAGGCTGGAGACATGCTGGCATGCATGCATTTCTTGAATGCTATGAAGTATTTGTTTGTAGCTTCTAAGACTTGCAGCCCTGTCTTTATATGTAATTTGAAAAAAATATAAAAATTAAAATTAAATTAAAAAAACTGCTTGCCATCTCAGGAAGGTCAGAAGGAAGGAAGAGAGGGAAGGAAAGAATTTGGAACTCAAAATTTTGAAAAGCAAAGGTTGAAAATTGGTTTTACATGTAATTTGAAATGTAAACATATACATACATGTTTATGTATGTATATGTATGTGTATGTATATATATGGAGAGAGAAAGAGCAAGAAAGAGAGAGAGAGAGAGATTGATTCAGTCTTCAGCATCTACTACCAGTGGTGAAGGATGGAAGCTGGGGCCGATGACTCAGCTCTATGGGGCAGGGAAGTGATCACATCTCTGTATCTCAGAATAAGGAAAAGTGTCCAATTTCTGTGGACCTTAGGATGTCTCTGTCAGCTCTGCTTGGACAATGGATGATGAAATGATAGGGAAGTAATAATGATAAGCACATTTATGAAGTGTTTAAAAGGTTTATAGAGCACTTTCCCCACAACAATCTGGACAGCCCGCCCCCTACCTTTTCAGCCGTATTATAAATAATTCACCTTCATACACTCTGAGTGACCCAGCCAAACTGGCCTCCTTACAGCTCCATCTTTGTACTGGCTGTCCTTCATTCTTGGAATGCTATCCTTTCCCTACCTCCACCTCTTAGACTCACTAGATTCCTTTAAGACCCAGCTCAATTACTACTTTTTGTGTGAAATTTTCCTAATTCCCATAGTGATTAATAATGCCTTTTCCTTCTATATCCCTTTTTAATTATATTGTAAATGCCCTTCCCTGATAGAATATAAACTATGTGAGGTCAAGGATTATTTAACCTTTGTTTTTGTATCCAAGGTGCCTGGCACGTAGTAAGTACATAATATGTTTTGATTAAATGAATCCTGAAGCAAGTAGTACAAGTATTATTCTCCCCATTTTACAGATGAAAAAAAAATAGAAGTGTTAAATAACCTGACCAGGGTCACAGAGCTAGCACTGAAAGATCTTGCAGGTGAGATTGCAGAAACTATTATTGGTTCTGTTGATAATCCTTGAAAACACTAATAATTATGGCTAGTATTTATATGGCTATAGGTTTGCAAAAAGCTTTAAATTTGTCATCTTATTTTGATCCTTTGAACAATCCTGGGAGGTAGGTGCTGTTATTATCCCTATTTTACAAATGAGAAAGCTGAGGCAGCTGAAACTAAGTGACTTCCCTAGGGTCACATAGCTAATAAATGTTTGAGGCCGGATTTTAACTGAAGTCTTCTTGTCTCCAGGTCCAGCTTTGTGGAAAATGGGAGGTGTGCTTAAAGATTAAACAACAGAGATGGACAAATATTGTCTTATTTTTTTAAGAGGAGGGAAAGGTAGATTCCACAAACTACCGACTACTAAGTTTAATATTAATTCTCAGAAAAGTTCCTTCTTAGTATGGATTATTTCATTATTTGTACCTGGCACACAGTTCAGTCCGGTTGTTTCCAACTCTTTGTGATCCCATTTGGGGTTTTCTTGGCAAAGATATTGGAGTGGTTTGTCATTTCCTTCTCCAGTTTATTTTACAGATGAGGGAACTAAGACAAGTAGAGTCAAGTGACTTGCCCAGGATCACACAGCTAGTTAAATGTCTAAGGCCAGATTTGAACTCATGAAGATGAATCTTCATGATTCTAAGCCCAGTGCTCTCTCTGTTGTGCCACCTAGCTGTCACAGTAGACAGTAGGTACTTAATAAATACTTGATTGACTGATTAACATAGTATATCTGGATTCTAGCAAGGCACGAGACAGTCTTTCATGAGAACCTGACATTTTTGTGGAAAAGATAGAAAAACTATGGTTAGATGATCACAGAATTCGATGGATTCAAAACTGATGGAAAGACTGTACTCAAATTTAAGATGATTAGTGGACTGATATGAACCTAGAGGTCTATGCCTGCCACCTTATTCCATTCAACACCTTAATCCATGACTTGGTGCGGGCATAACTACGATGCTTATTTAATCTGTGAATGACACGAATCCAGGATTTTGTTGTCCTTGTTCAGTCATTTCAGTCATGTCCAACTCTTCATGACCCCATTTAGGGTTTTCTTGGCAGAGATACTAGAGTAGTTTGCCATTTCCTTCTCCAGCTCATTTTAGAGATGCCTGAGGAAACTGAGGCAAATAGAGTTAAATGGCTTGCCCAGGGTCACACAGCTAATACGTGCCTGAGGCCAGATCTGAACTCAGGAAGATGAATCTTTCTGACTCCAGCCCTGGCAATCTAGCTGCCCTGATTCTAGATACTAATTAAGATGACAGAAGCAGGAGCCAAGATCTTGACAAGCTAGAAGAATGGACCAAATTTTAAAAAGATAAAACTGTACATTAAGTCTTGAACTTAATTTAACATTATTAAAAAATCATCTGCATTAAGTATGGGATAGCAGAGATGGGATGGCTTAACAGCAAGTCATATGAAAAAAAAACCTCAGCAGTTTTAGTTGACTGCAAGCTTAATATTAGTCAATAGCGTGATGTGCCTACCAAAAAAAAAGCCAACGTGACATTAGGCTGCATTAATATTAGTTCAGCATCTAGAACAAAGGAAGTGACCCGTCTCATGTCAATCTAAACTTTCTTCTAGCAATAAAATATTGTGGATCTGTGAATTTCAGGCAGAGTCATAGTGGGAAAGATTGTGCAAGTGTGTATCCAGACCTCTTCAAATGGTGAGAAAAGGGACTAAGACATATCAGGGAGTTAGAAGAGGGATCTAAATTGGGAGATAAGGGGAAAGAGTGGGGGATCTCCTTCCTCTCTTGTCTATCCTCATTCTTCTCTTTCCTTCCTCAGCTTTCAAAGCATTTCATGTCTCCATCATTTATCACTGGCAGCTAGGTGGTACAGTGGATAAAGTACCTGGCCTGGAATCAAGGAAACTCATCTTCCTGAGTTCAAATCTGGCCTGACACTTACTAGCTGTGTGAGCTTGGGCAAGTCACTTAACCCTGTTTGCTTCAGTTTACCGATTTGGCAGGAAAGGTCTGTCTGGGATGAGATGGGAGTGAGGTCCAAGAGCAATAGCAGACAGTCTCACAAGCAGGGGGCCTGTAGCAAGGCTCTGAGTCCTGGGGTAATCCACCAGCAAGGCCCTGCCCTCCTGCAAGCCAGTAACCCCAGAGGTAAGCCAGTGCAGCACAGCAAGACCCCCACCCCAGCAACCCTACCCCCAAGACAGGCCACCAGGAAGGCCTTACCCCCTTTGTTGACTAGTAGAAAGGCCCTGCCCCTTGGCCCTGTTAGCATCTACACCATGCCCCTGGGGCAGCCCAGCACCAAGATCCCTTCTCCACACAGATTGCCCCTGTTTCCATAGCAACCCAGCTGCAAGGTACCATAGACAATGAAGTAATATCAATACTACACATATATGCACCCAATGGCATAGCATCTAAATTTTTGAAGAAGTTAAATGAGTTACAAGAGAAAATAGACAACAAAACTACACTAATGGTAGACCTCAACTTTCCCCTCTCAGAACTAGATAACAAAAAAATAAACAAGAAAGAAGTTGAGGTGAATGGAATTCTGGAAAAGTTAGATATGATAGATCTCTGGAGTAAACTGAATGGGAATAGAAAGGAAGTAGTACCTGGCACCTGCACAAAAATTGACCATGTATTAGGGCATAAAAAACTCACAGCCAAATGCAGAAAAGCAGAAATAGCAATTGCATCCTTTTCAGACCACAATGCAACAAAAATTACATCGAATAATGGGCAATGGAAAGATAGATTGAAAATTAATTGGAAACTAAATAATCTAATCCTAATGAATAAGTGGGTCAAAGAACAAATCATAGAAACAACTGATAATTTCATTAAAGAAAATGACAACAATGAGACAATATATCACAATTTATGGGATATAGCCAAAGCAGTACTTAGGGGAAAACTTATACTTGAATTGCTTACATCAATAAAATAAAGAGCAGACCAATGAATGGGGCATGCAACTAAAGGAACTAGAAAAAGAACAAATTAAAAATCTCCAATTAAACACCAAATTGGAAATCCTGAAATCAAAGTAGAGTTTAATAAAATTGAAAGTAAGAAAATCATTGAACTAATAAATAAAACTAAAAGCTGGCTTTATGAAAAAACCAATAAAATAGATAAACCATTAGTTAATTTGATTTTTAAAAAAGGAAAGAAGAAAAACAAATTACCAGTATAAAAAAATGAAAGGGGTGAATTCACCACTAATGAAAAGGGAATTAAAACAATTATTAGGAGCTATTTTTCTCAATTATATGCTATTAAATTTGAAAATCTAAATGAAATAGATGAATATCTACAAAAACATAAATTACCCAGATGAACAGAAGAAGAAATAGGTTATTTAAATAATCTAATCTTAGGAAAAGAAATTGAAGAAGCCATCAATGAACTTTCTAAGAAAAATTTCG